TAGCTTGCTGAAAGTCTGAAATATTTACTGTTGCAGAACAATGGCTTGAATTTTCTAATATATGTGGCATTTTGGCATGTTTTCTGACCATTATAGCTTTTCCCTTCTTTCCTTTGAGGAAGGCAGGCCTATCCATGCCTTGTGAGGCGGTGCAGTACACTGCCCATCAGCTCAACGTGGAGCAGAAGTGGGGTGTCTTCCTCTTCCAGTACGTGCCTTGTCAAGGCTTTATTATTCATGAAAAGGATGTTGATATTAGATTAAGATGTGCTGGTCTTTAAAGAATACGGCTCCAAACTGTGGCTATATGGAATAATTGCTCCATAGATATTCATTGGTAAGTATAATTTTGAAATATCTGTACCTAAATTCCTATTCAAAGACCCAACTGAGAGATATAATATTTATAGAGGTTTGACTCAGGAAGAACAGGTTCTAAAATTTATTCATAGACTAAACTAATAAAAAGCTATTACCCTGTTATTGAACTAGCATCTTATTGAATTTATTTTTAGATTTTTAAACAATGTTTTTAACTTCCTCGAACTTTGGGTTACATTGAAACGTGTTATAAGGAACAATCCTATGAGCGAGGGAAGTGAGAGCTGTACACTTACTGTTGAGACGTTCCTTATAGCGAGACTCTGAGATGACTCAGTAGAAATGCTTCTCCATTCTGAGTAATAGGATCAGGGTAGCAAGAACTATAAGTGTTAACCTTATGGACTCTGACATGAATAACTGATCCTGTTTCTCTTGCTCTGTTGGCTGCTATAAATCTTAGAACTATTTTTTTCTTTTTGCCGAGCTTCAAAAGTACATAGAAATCATGTCACAAATTTCATGATCTAACATCACCTCTGTCCCATCTTACTCTTCTTACCTTATCATTGCTTCAGATTTCTCCTATTTATCTTGGTGCACTAAACACTTCTTTATAAGCCACTTTAAATCCCTTCTAATACAAAGCAGACTGTTAATAATAAATGATGTTTGAACGTGTTTCTTTCTACTCTACAAAGCCTTTCTCAGAACAATGAGTAAGCCTGAGGTAAGGATCTAACATTGTCATAGTTTAGGGTCTTTGGGAAGCAATCACTAAAATTAGATGGAGTTTACAGTGCAGTATATTTATTGGGAATATCCTTGTGATAAATCCCCAGAGAAGGAAGAAAATAGGATTGAACAAAGCAAGAAGATAAACTGCAATACACAATGGTCAACAGCTTCAGCTGTCTGGAGCTAAATGGCCCATCAGAGTTACCTTCTTTAGGCTGAAAGAGAAGGGCCTTTATACAGCCTGCCTCAGTCAGTCACTGGATATTGACTGCTCTAGACAGAGGTTGACTTTGGGCAAGGTGGCTCTCTAAAGCTAAGGCTATCTTCGAAAGGGTTGACCACTAAATACTGTCTGCTAACAATGCCTCACAAGCCCCTCCTTGTAAAGGGGAGCATAGTACCCATCTATCATAGATATTCTAGGTAAGACATATACCCTGAAGCAATTAGAATGCCCTGGGGAAGTTAAATACCATTGAGAAGTTATTTTGGTCATAGAGTTATGTGCTAGTTAAATTTATTCTACCTAGAGAAAACCCACAGCATATCTCCCTGAAAGGGTACAAGTTGAGTGATAAACAACCGATATATATTGTGTGTAGGGGGACATCTTAAAACAACATATATTTATCATCTCAGTTTCTGTCCAGGCACATCTTAGCTGGGTCCTTGTTCATAGTCTCACAAGGCTAAAATAAAGGTGTTGGCTGGACTGTTGTGTGTATACAACACCTATCAGTGTCTATTTTGTGCTGGACAACCTAGTCTTTAAACATGGACTCAAAAGTAGAAACCAACCTTGTCATATACTTGAGTGGATAGCATTTGCATTTCATGTTTCTGATCAGTACAGTATTGTAGTAGTAATCTCTGATCTCATCACAGGTGCTACAGCCTTGTACCTTTTTATACACATGAACAGGAAAGATTGCTCTTAGTAAATGCTGCACCACATGACTTAAAACACTGAACAATCAGGTAACTTGATTTATCAGCATCATATTATATATAAGTAATTTTTTCACTGAGTCTATTAGCCAGTTTCCACCCCCTTGAAGCAAAACCCCAATTCACCACATTCTTCAAATTCCGTGAGTATATACACTGTTCTGCTCAGTTGGTGAAAGAAAAACATGCAGATAAATCAAGCATTCTTGCAGAGTAAATACGAGGCACTACGGTGCAAAAATTAGTTTGCATAGTGCACAATACAAGTGTTATACAAGTGCTATGGGATATTTTTTACTTTTTAACTGAAATAATTTTGCCTTTCATATCAAAAGCAAATAATCACAGTGGTGTGGTTTTTTGTTTGCTTGGTTGGTTTGTGGTTTTTTTGCATGTGTGTGTGTTTTATCATCTGTCTTTTTGGTTTTGACTGCCATGGACTTTAAGATCATCTGAGTCTTCATCTTTCCAATGAGAAAATTAGAGTTTAAAGAGGCTTGGTAATTACCCATTTCATGAGGAAAACTTCAGAACTGGAATCCAGGCTTTCCGACTCATATCTCGGTGTCCCCCCTCCCCATCATCCTATTCATTGATATTAATAGCTCTAAGAAGACACCAGCGCCAAACAACCTCCCATGCGACGTCTGCCTTGGCAAGACACCTCTCTCATGATCCCCTTTCTAAAATGTTTTTATTTTTAAGTAGCTCCTTTGAGTACATAGTTGCCACAATTAAAGATGAGCTTTCTTTTTTATCCACCAATGTTTGTTTGACATTGGTGATGAATACTCTTCTTTTATTTGCTAAGTTTCTTTATGCTGGTGAGTAAAGGCTTAGGAAACTGTTCAGCAAAGAACATACACTTCAAAACCATCCAGATACTCTGCGCACCACACAATGGAGCAAATCCAGGGACTGAAGAGATGAGCACATCTGTTTATTTTTGCTCTTTGAGAGGAAATGTAGCTTAAGTGGGGTTGACTTTTTATGACATTTGCTTAGTTCTTGAATTGACTGACAAGCCTGTTAATGGACTCCCTGAACTTTATTAATGTAATTGGAAAACTGTTCACATGCCAATCAACTTCTAATAAGTAATTATGTTCATAAATACTGTAAAATTATTAGCTTTTAATGTGACCCAAGCACATATTTTCAACACAGAAAGAGAAATTTTCTTTTTCTAGAGGAACAAAATATTATGCTGATAAAACATTCACTAGGTGCATTCCTAATATGTATTCCCTGAAATGGTGCTCAAATGTTCACTATCATCAAGTGGCCAGCAAAAAAGAGTGCCAGAATAAGGCATGGAACAGCTGTAAAAATGCGTACAATATTAAGTAATCTATTTTATATAAAGTTATAAAGAAACCCTATGGAAATTAAACCATTATATATCCAGTCTGGTTTAAAAATCTGGGCCTAACATGAAACAAGAATGGAAAAAATGAAAGCAGGATATATTCAGTGTCTAAAATATATCATTTAAATCTATAAGAAGCAAAAAGTCTGTATCTCAAGCCACTCAAATATGTTATTTGTCCAAGTTTACTTTTTCTTATGTAATAAAAATCTTTTGTAGACTCTGAGCTAGAAACTCAAGTCAAAGGGCACTGACTACACAAGAGAATCGGATTAGGCCTGGATAACAGAAGAAATGTGTTTCTGATTTGTAACCTCGTGTCAGTTTTTGAAGCTGGACAAACTCCTGCCCTCTAGAATCTCTGGATAATCTCTGTATAAAAGACAGACTTTGATGAAAACGACTATATTCTCCTATACTTTTAATAAGGGATATCTTACAGTCTGCAATGATCTGTAATAAGAAAAGCCATTGAGGAAATTCACTGATTTAATCCTCAATTTATACTTCCTTCCTTAAAGTTACTTGTTTAAGTAATAAGTTTAATTTTTTATCAAAAGATAAAATATTTACTAATAATCGAATCTGTTTTTGAATTCAGGTTTACATGAATATAAGGAAATAAAGCTCAGTTAATAAAATTATAGATTAACAATCTTTCCACATGTAAGCTGTGTACATAAATTAACACTTAGTGTTAATTATTTGAAGGGTTAACTCAGAGGTAATACAAATAACCTGCTTGCTCAGCATTCCTGTTAAGAATAAAACATGCATTCCCTAGCACCACATTATCATATAATTTGTTATTAATTTTACTTAGAAATGCTGCAATGTCATTTCGAGTCCCACAGCATAATATTTCTATGCAACCAACCCATTATTAATCTAAAACACATGAGGAAATAATGTAAAGGGCAAAAATATACATTTTCCATCCTATTAGCATTATAATTTCATTTTTCTTGAGAAGCATTTGTGTTCAGGATAAATATGCTCTTACATTTTAGTGTGCAAGAAAAATAATGTAATTTGATGATTCTGTTTGTATTTGGAGATTGCAAGTTAGCTAGCATGATTTATGATCTACTGAATGTACGTCAAAGCATAAAGCATTGTGTACCATATTTTTTCAATTACTCTATATTTAAATTAAGTATTTCTAGAAGGCTGATTCTTTTCATTGTGACTTTAACCAAAGTGCACAGAAGTTGAATTGAGACAGTGTTGGAAAGCTAGAGAATTACTTTTAAAGAGTTACTATCCATATTTCAAAAAGTTCTAATATTTTAATGTATTCAACATGGGTTATCAAATATTTATTTTAATGTATCAACCATGGGTTCTCAAAGATTTATTGAAGGGTAACTCAAAGGAAGATAGGAAGTAAATCATGCACAAAAAATCACAATGTGATGTTAATTGATAATTTCTGATCTTGTAAGTGGGGATTCATATGACTATAATACCCATTACACTTAATGGAATCTAGGAACATAAATCCTTTAAAACAATGACCACATATCTTTCAACATTGTCAGTTATTTCTGAGTCATCTTGATATCTAATTACTGAACATTTCTAAGCACAGTCTCTCACAGTATAGCAGTTAAGAAATGCATACCTTGCACAGTCAGATGCACCTGCATTGTTCTCGGCGTGTGCTGAGTCTGAACAGAACACGTGTATGGGCCATCATCTGTCACATCTACATTCTGTATCTGGAGGCTGTAGTCTCTTTTGTTCAATGTTGAAATTGAAACTCGAGGATCCACTGACCACTTATCACCTCCCGCAAAAATAATACTTGACCGGTTCAGCCAGGCACCCTTTGAAGCTCCATCTTCCAAATAACACCTACAAATGACCAGAGATGAACACTATTAATCAAGTGAAAATGAGAGACATTATCTTTGCTCTGGCTGTATTTCCATGTGCTGAATTATAGCACTTCATCAAATGCAAACATCGGACATAAACACAGGAAACATGAACATACTGGTACATCTTCCATTCCCAGTACAAATGTGAAACAATATCTGAATACAGTTTGGTTTTGTGTGAGTGTGTATGTGTATGTTTTAATTGAAAACCAGTCAAAATCAGTTTTCATTCTTTCTGGTTGACAACAAGTAAGTTTAAATAATGTTAAGTTAGTTCACATAACAATTTTCAACATTAAAAAGCATTTTGTTCTTTGAAATTATAAGAAGTAGGAAAGGTCTATGAGTCAGCCTCAGTCAACCCAATCCGATTCTCAATATCATGTATTAGATGCAGAAAACAAAGCATAGAATGGTACTATATACATTTATTTTTAAAATCCCATGCATTTGCAAAGCAATAAGCTTGCACATTGAAACTATAAACTGCATCTCACTGATAATATTGTTGTAATTAAATATAGCAATTTAAAAATAATAATTTTAGTAGCAAATTCTTGTTGCCTTTTCAATGAACTAACAGTTTTTCTAGGTAGCTTTCATTTATCCAATAAGCATGTATGAAACATCTACTACTTATTGATTTAAAAAGGTATTGTCACTGCTCTTCTAAACTTTTAGTCTAGTGAGAAAGACAACCAAGAAATGCAGTTAATACTATACATTAAGAAAAATAATTTTATTAGCTCAAGTCAAAGGTTCATGAGAGACAAAAGAGGGTTACTTGACTCAGAAAGGGTGTTGGGGTATAGAAAAAGGCTTTCTGGGAAGGGAAAGGAAATGCCTGAGCTAAAGCGATGAGAAGTGGAAGACATAGCTTTCTAGACAGAGGTGTTATATGTGGGCAACACCAGGGAAAGGTCAGAGAGAGAACCAGGCATTACAAGGAAGTACAAGTATGGGATACAAGGGAGGGATGAGAGATGAAATTGGAAAGGTAAACTAGAACCAGATGATGGTAGCAAGCATAGTGACAGTAGATTTTAAGGCCAAATTTGAAGCCATTTATTCAAAGTTGTATTCTATAACAAGATTCAGAAATATAGCTGTGTATCTAATAGAAGTCAGGGACATCAAGGCTTCCAACAGAAGGCTCTGGTCATATGTCAGTGATTTTGCTGAGGCCTGGAGTTCTGTTTCATCTTGGAAACATTCTGATACAAATTAAAGACTGGTTCTCTTAAATGAGTACAAAGCACAGCTACAGAATGAAAATACACATACATCGAAATAGTTTGACAGCATTTCCACAGAACACCTTGGGGGATTGAACACAGAGTTTGAGATTGCTACAAAATTGCAAGCTGAATGCAGCAGGGGTAGGTTGCTGCCAACTGTATGAAACTAATCAGTGGATGGAAACACATAAGGAACAGGGTACACTGCAGAATCTAATTTGTAGTCAGCTTAACCATCTACAGAATCCAAACTTGTAGAAGTCATAAAGGTCACCGTTAATTGAAAAGCTTTGCCTACGTATGTAATGAAGAAAATAATACCCACTTTAATGATATAATTAAACAATTATAGTGTATTGCCATTCCTAATAATATGCAGAAAGAAGATGGAGACATAGTTCTCATTTCACAAGATCATATTTGTAGAAGTATTAGGCAGAACATCAAAATACCACTACCAGGGCTGTGATAATTCTGTTTGTATTTACTATATGGATTCATGAAGTTTATTGTGTGACCTCTGCATTCATGGCCTTCACACGTTACCTTATCTGGTGCTCATAACAACCCTGTGGGGTATGGATTTCTATTTCTAATTCATCACCAGGAAACAACTGGAATGTTTAGGTTATACGACTGGCCCTAAGCACTAGTAGTGAGTGGCAAAGTTGAATTTATAATCGAGTCTAGCATTTCTACATCCAATGTCCTTTCCACCATAATGCAGATCAAAGACTTTTCAAATAGGCTTCAGAAAGAGGGAGATGATTAGAATGTTGCAGAAATTACTGCACGTAATTTCTTATTTACTGAATGTGACCAACTGCTTAACCTGTTCTATTCTAAAGGAAGCAGAAAATTAATTATTAATGGATATTTGACCATGAAAGTCTGATTTTGAACACTCTGCCTCTCATTTCCCTTTCCCTAGAGGCAGAAGCAGCTTTACCTTTATGTGGGGGGTATTAGAGAACCAGGGAGATTAGCCTTTAGACACCAGAGCTTTCATAGACCTGATCTGGGTTGTAACTCCTAGTCTCAGCATAAGCACTGTTCCTCTGTTCTGGCACATCCGGGACCATCAAGGAAGAACAGAAGTTTTGCACGGTGAAAATGAAAAGGAGTTCTTTATGTCCTCTGGGTTTAGATAACTGTATTTCATAATTGCTATTGGTCTCAACTCAAAGTATTTAAGACATATTAGAAATACCCTTGAAGGAGACTCAGGAAAAAACTACATTTTGTGGTTGTTGTTGTTGCATTATCTCCTTGTAATGCTGCAGAATTATTCTCAAATTACACTAGTGAGTCAGAACTTAACTAAAATTACCATATACAGAATTTTACAAATTGGGAGTAGCAAGGCTTTCCATTTTATAACAATCATAAGATACTTAAATTGAGTATATGTGTTGTGAGGTCAACTATAAGATGGTTTTATAAAATATATGTAACAGGCCGAACACACAAATCTGATTCCTTGAGACTAAGACCCATGTTTTCTACATCTCTACCTACACAGTCACCCTCCTTCCCCCCGTTACAATACACAGGGATACTGCCTGACATGTGTACGCTGTATTAAGAAGAAATGCTGGAGGGAAGGAAGGTCATCATGGTATGGGGGTGGGGGTAGAAGGATGGGAAGTGGTGATAATTTAGTTTTGCACTCTTTGGGCACCAAATTTTTTTTTTTTTCTTGGCTTAAGGATTCTATAATGTCTAAAAATATAAATCTCTTGTTACCCTGGGCCATACAGAATTTAAAATTTAGTAAAGATGATAAAGTATATTCATTAATAGCCATCATGCGTAACAGAAAGTTAATATATAATAACTAAATGATTGTTATAATTGGATTATTGTATTTGCCAGAGATTCTTTAACTCTTTCCCTTCACCCCAATAGCCAGGACCATTCTCCCAACAACAAACAGAATAAACTTTAGTTTCAATGAGTTCATCAGCTCCAAGCCTTCCTATTCCACTCATAAGAAACACTCAATTCCTGATAACGACCCATGAGCCTATGGTATCTGGTTCTTTGATGCTTTTCTGCTTTGTCAGCGACCACTCTTCCCAAGTTGCTCTGCTCTAGACAGTGGTCCTCTAGCCCTGCTTCCAACAAGTCATCCATTCTTTTGCCCCAGGAAATTTACATTGGCCGTTTCTCCCCCGTGGAACTCTCATCCCCCAGAGTTTTGCATTAATTCTTCCTTACCTTTCTTAGGTGTTCACTGAATTACCTAATGTACTAAATAGCAAAAACTGTTCTCAACATTCCCATTAGACATCTTTTCTGTTTACTTAATTGACTATTTTGCATGTCTCCAAAAGTGTAACCCAGAGGCTGTGTTTACTTGGTCGCCTCTGTATATTCCAAGGGCCTACACACAATGGACAATGAGTATAAATTTTTGTTGAGTGGATGAATGAAGGCAAAAATGAAGACACTTTTAGATGAAGAGTTAATATGGTAAAGTAGATCAGAATTCCAAAGTGCAATCTAGTTGGAAAAGCAGTCATGTCGGCATTATAAGATATAATTAAATGCAAATATCTGCGGCACAAACGAAAACTGCTATAGGAGACATAGTGTGAACTCAGCAAACAATCTGAGTCAGTGGATTGAGCTCAGTGAGCAGAGTCAAGTGGTAGATGTAGGGAGAGGTGAGCTGGGCTCATAATTACTGGAAATAAGAAAAAAACTGTAACATTTGATTCTGTACTTCAGGAACCACTTTAAACTATTAACTATTCTGCTTAGTATGTGCTGGGCACTTGTTAGGCACTTGACATTGACCCTCTTATAACCTCATGAGCTGGAACCTATAACCTTCATCTCACTGATGAAGAAATTAAGTTACTGAGATTGTATCTTGAACAAAGCCAGTCCGCCTGAACTCTTAACCATGGTGAAAGACCATACTCTGTATTTTTAGTCAGACATCAGCAAGGATGAGGGGTTCTCCCTGTTTAGGATGGAAGGATTCATGTGTGAGGGAGAGGTTGGTGAAGCAGTTAATGGGAGCAGGATGAAGCCATAATTCTAGGGTAACGAACTCGGATCTTTTTTTCCTCTCTAGATTTCTAAATGGAATATTTTAAGAGCTAGTAAGCTTAGGATCCCTTTGAAGTATGGACAATAAAACAATTGAAAAAAGGTTCAATAATGAACCTATCCTTTGAGTGTGGCATGAATTTTCTTGAAAATGTTTTCTTTATTTCTTTTTAAAAAATCTGCTAGACTACCTACTCACAGGGAGATGAGTAGAGCAGTTCAAAAACACACTCCTCAGCATAAGCTGCATTAGCACTGTGCCAAATATCATGGCAAATACTTCAATGTTCAGTCAATCATCTGGATGTTTTGTATACATAGTTCCAAACATCTGGTTGTTGGAAATGTGACCGCTGTCAGGAGTGGGAGGGTGGAGGGATTGAGAAAAAAATAAAGAACTAATTGACACAGACAACAATGTGGTGATTGGGGGGGGGAGTGTAGGAAGAGGTAGAAGAGGGTACAGGTGGAATAAATCATGATGGGGGAAAAATAAATTGTTTTTAAAAAAGAAAGAAAATAGCTAGACTATTTCATTTTGTTTCACAGTTGTTAATCCTATCAACCCAGGCTTAAGATAGTTGACCTTTTTCTAATCAGAATTGCATTTCCTTCTGATCTCTCTTAAGGAGCTCCTTTATACATAACATTACCACATGTTAGACAGGTCCTTATTTGGGGGGTAATAAGTCCTAGTTGGTGTGCTGCTAGTTGATCTAACTGATGCTGGAATAATTTTAACTGACTCCGTCTGTGATATGATCTCCTGTGGTGATTACATATGAAAGTTGGACATCAGAGAGTTCAGTAGAAATTAGCATACTTA